CCACACAGCGCTCCTCAGCGCTAGAAATTCTGTTATTATTTACTGGCTCGTCTGTCCCCCCCGCCATTGCCTGGCACAACGAAGACGCCCCATCCAATCTGGCTAACCCGAGCGACGAGTGGCTGGTGGGAGAGAAGCCTAGAGGCCTGATCCCCCAACCCCGCCACCAGCGTACCAGGGTTTTTGGGTTCCTCCTCCCCCACCGGCGGCAGGACGGTCGTCGGCTTCTCCTTGGCCCCGCGGTCCCCCTTCCTGGTCACTGCACCGGATGACTTCTGGATCCCGGGACGCGGGGCCCTGGGTGAGGCCACCGGTGGTGCGCTCGCCTCGCCCGACATGCTGGAGCCGTCCGCAGCGACTCTGGGGACACTCACGGGGGCAAGGAGGCAGGACGGGATTCTGTGGGGCTCGCCCTGGAGGCGGCCGAATCAAGGGTCTCTATTCCGCGTCCACAGGCGGGACCCGCCTGCCGCGGCGTCGCCTCAGCGTCCCTCTCCAAGACAACCGCGCGAGGTGGGCGGGCCCGAGGGCAAGGGGCAACCACAGAGCGCACGCGAGGCCGACAGGGGGCACCAAAGAGTCATCGGGGGCGGGAGGAGCCCGGAGGGCGGAGCCGCGGAACTAGGGCAGCCGAGAAGGGCGGGGCCAGGGCGGGGCCAGGGCGGGGCCTGGGCAGCCCTGGGTCACAGGGACAGGGGAACCCTGGAGCCCTGGAGGGCTGGACCCCGCGGACCCTGTGCGAAGGAAGAAGGACCTGGGCGGAGCCGTGGCGGAGGGAGACGAGTGGATACCGGACTGCACCGGAGTGGACTAGAGCTGGGCTAGAGCGAGACCAGGACGGAGAGGCGGGGCTAGGGGGCGGGCAAGGAGCTGTCCAAAGTCACCCGGGAAACTGAACCGGGGAAAGCCGGGATCCGACCCCGTGTATTAGAGACTAGCGGCCGTCGGAGGAATCTAGGGAAGCAGAGTCCGGTTGAAGACAGATCTACTCTCTGGGGTCGGCCCTCCTACCCTGTAAGGAGAGGACTCCTGATGGAAAAGGCCCAGAGAGACCCCCCCGAGTTAGCGAGTCGGCGTGGCTCTGGGTTTGTAATCTCGACCCCATCTATGTAGCCTCCTGGAGGTCTGGGGACTTAGTTGATCCGCCAACGAGTTTAGGAGGCGGGTCACGCTTCCAAGAAATCTTGGATTCAAAGTCCTCAGGTAGCCTAGACCCTCCCGGGCCCCCATCAGAGTATACTCTCTCCCCTCTGCTTTCTGGGCTCCAGCCTCCCCACTCCAGTCTGTTCTCTTCCCCCACCGCCACTCCCAGACCTTCCCACCATTGAGCTTTTGTGCTGTTCCCCTGCAGAAACGCCACCCTTTGGGGAAGACTCTGACCTATGCAGTCTTTCAGCTTTCAGAGCACCAGTTTGCCCAGCTATCTTAGCACTTGCCAGCACTTACCACTGGTAGTTTTAACTCACTCAGCCACTCAGCCTTTGGGGGAACATTTATTGAGTGCCTACCATGTGCCAAGGGGAGCCAGTGTTGAACATAAACACAGGATTCCTGCTTTCAGGGAACTTAAAGAGTCTGGTGGAGGAGGCAGAGATAAATCAAATAATCACACTAAAAAGCAACACATTACAGAGGTGCCTGGCACCCTGTAGGCCATCTGCAGGTAACTGGTGCGTGAACACACCAGTAATCAGCGCTGTGAAAGAGAACACGGGGTGTGAGGGACAAGCAGGAGTTAACAGGTGAGTGGGGGAGGAAGAGCATTCCAGATGTGCCAAGTCCCTGTAGTAGGAAGACGTGTGGCTGATAGGAGGACGTAGAGGCCAGTGTGACTGGAGCAGAGTGACAGGGAACACAGTTCAGAGTGAGGCTGAAGAGACAGGCAGGCCAGGCCAGCAAAGCCTTTAAGGCTCTGGACGATTTTGACTGTAGCCCAAGGGCCATGGGGCACCCACGGAGACTTTCAGGCAGGGGTAACCTAACCAGCTTGTATTTTGAAGCAGTTGGCTGGCGGGAGTACCAAATGAATGCAGGGAGGCCAGTCACGCTATTTCTAGAGTTAACTGGGTTTGGGCCGCCTCTCCACTATATAGTGAGTGCCCCAGGACAGGATCAGTGCCTGGTACACCTCTGAAAACACGCATGCACGCACACACAGAGCCTAGCCCGGGAGTGCACAGAAAAGTTACCTAATATACACTTCTTACAGCAATCTGAAATCAGAGTTATCCAGCAACATTTAACCCACCAGTTTATGTATACAGGGCCCTGGGGGCCTTGGGGAGCAATGGGTTGGGGAAAAGGAACACAGGTTTCCTGCTGACCAGTGTTCCCCATGGTAGAACCTGGGAGCCAGGCTCCCATCTCCTCTCCATTCACTTCCTCTATTAAACATGTTCATGTTCACGGCCGGCCAGTCCTCTCCCTGCTCCTGGCAGGGTACAGCGGGCTCTGTCCTCAGCCTTGAGCAGCAAAGAACCGGTGTGCTGACCTCTGCACACCATCTTGGCTCCTCAACGGTCCTGGTGCCGAAGTGGGGGTGACGGGGGATGCCGTACTGGAGGCAAGTCATAGTGTCCAGGTATGTGGCTGTTCTTGGGTGAGTCATAGTGGCCAGGAGGCAGGCCCGGAGGCAGAGGGGGCTGGGAGCCCACAGAGTCTCGGTCTGGAGACAGAGAGGGATGAAGATGAGAAGGAGGTGGCTCCTCCCCCTTCCCACCACTGTCCTCCCCTCTCCAGACTCTTCTGCCGGAAGACGGATGCATGGTGCCTGGCTATAGGCCAGTTTGTGCAGCTCCTCAGCTGCCAGTGGGGGAAGCCATCTCGACCTGCCCACCTCACAGGATAGGAAGATGCTGTCTCACCTGCCTTGTTCCCAGCTTTTCTGGGTATCAAGTCTACAACTCAGGTGCTGTAAAACCACCATTTCATATCCTCAGCCCTGTGAGGGAGATACCGCCACCTACAGGCTCTAAGAGGCAGTGTGACTTCCCAAACGTCATGCCTGGTTTGAGCCCAAGTCTGACCCCCAAAGGCCTTGCCCTTGCTGCCACTCCATGCCCACTCCGCATTCTCGCCCTCTGTCCCTTCTCTTTTCCCACCTCCCTTGTCCCTGTTCTCTCTGCCCCAGTGGAGAAGGAAGGCTCACCATGGGTCAGGGGGCTGGGCTGCTCATAGGTGCCACTGTCTCTCTCTGGCTGGGGGTGTCGCCGCCTCTGGCTGTCCTGGAGCTGAGGCGGCTGCCTGGGGGGAGATCCTGAGGGAGGGCCTTTCATCTCCATGTAGCTGCTCTCCCGGGGGCTCCCTAGCAGGCTGGGCAGGTCCCGGATGGTGGCGTAGGGGTTCTCACTGCTCAGGGAAGCCACGCTGGCCCCCAGCCCCTCTTCAGAGATGGGCCCTAAAGAGAGGGGAAAGAAATCAGGCTCGGTGGAGGCACTGACCCCTAAACCCCAGCGCAGCTCCCTCCCTCGCTCCCCCGCCCCGCCCTGCCCTGCCCCCACCTTTACTGTAGAAGGGGCCTGGGCCATTCCTGTTGCTGTAGCTACAGCTGTAGCTTCGGTCCAGGCGGCTGTTACCTGAGGAGGAGAAAGCAACCTGCAATCAGGCCCCTGGTCCCCTGCCCAAGGTCCCACCTCCTCTAGAACTGGGGCCCAGAATCCCCTTCCACAGACACACGCACTCAGATGAAGCAGGACGCTGGGCTGTACACATCCACCCTCACCAGAGGCCTTGGGCCCCAGGCTCCTACCCCTGTCCAGAGGCCCTGGAGGGGGCTGCCGGCGGTGCTTCCAGTCAGCAGGCAGTGTGGCGTGGTTGTTATCATGCCCGTGGGCTCCACCTGGCCGCTCAGGGGCCTGGAGGCTGCCAAAGAGCTGACTGCCTGGAACCTGGCAGGGGAGGGGGTGGGACAGGGAGAGCGACGGGCACGGCTGGAGCTTTCCGGAGAGCCGGGCTGTGCCCACAGGGCATCCAGAGTGCATCCCCACCCCCAACACTGACCTTGTTAGGGGGCGGGGGGTTAGGTGAGCACTGAGACAGGGTGTGGTAGCTGGGGTTGGAGTAGTAGTGACTGTAGCTCGGAGGGACATCTGCACAAACAGACACAGTTGCAGGGTGACCTGCCCGGTCAGAGACAAGCCTGGGCCCAAGACAGTCATTCTGTTCCAGGAGATCCATAATCAGCCTCTCCGACCTCTCTCACTCTCTCCAACTCCCCGCTTCCCGCCTACAAGTTACGCGGAGGGATGCAGGAGCCCCGCACCCCATCTGCCCTGTACCTAAGAGCCAGCCACTCATGTGTGTCCCCGCCCCCAGGCCAGCTCACCTGGCATGACGTACTCAGAGCCATCCAGCCGCCCGCTGCTGTAGGACACTGCCAGGTGTTGGTGCTCTTTGCCTTTCTGCCAATGGCGGTAGCCAATGAACAGCGCCACCAGGGCCACCACCAGGGATCCCAGCACTGCGATGCCAGTCACTGCCCCGAGTGAGTTATAGGCCACTGGAGAGGTAGGCATCATGGTGAATGGCTCCTGGCTTCCTGTCGGGGATGGGGTGGGCACTCAGGACAGTGTCTTGGCCCTACTGGTGAGCTGGGGATGCATGCATGGGAGAGGCCCCAGTAGGGGGGCAGGGTGATACAAGGGTACCACCTAGCAGAGACCTGGCCATGTACCTGTGTCCTGGTTCCCTGGGGACAGTGCGGGGCGGGGTGAGGTTAGGGAGGGGGCTAGATGAGAACTCACCAATCCTGCAGGGGGCACCACTGTGTCCTGGGGGACACACACAGGCCCCAGTCTCTGGGTGGCACCTCTCTCCGGGACCACACTGGCATGGTTGGGAACAATTGGCACCGAACACCCCTGGAGAGCAGCCTGTTTAGAGAGCCGAGGAGGCAGGCGGGGATCAGAGGGGCCAGGGAACAGCAGTCCCCTCCTCAGGCTAGGGCTGACTTGGAGGCAGGGGCATGGAGTTCCCCTTCTGCTGGTACCTTCCAAGCAGAGATGTCCGGTCCGGCCTGGGGGGCAGAAACAACTCCCATGCTGGGGGTGGCAGGTCCCGCCATGGCGACACTGGCAGAGCTGGGCACAGTTGGCCCCCCAGTGTCCTAGAGGGCACGCTGCAGGAGACAAGGTTGGAGGCTGTCTGGCAGTCAGGGCCAGCCCCTCCTGAGTGAATTCTCAGCCCCCAGCATCGCTGAGCTCTTCAGCTCAGCTTTGGTCTCCCCAGGGGCACCAAGGCTTTGAATCGTGATGACTCACAAATGCTTATCCACAGCCCTGTGTCTTGCCTGAACTCCAGACCCACGTGCCCAGCTGCCTGCTTAACTTCTGCACTTGCCTATCTGATAGACTTTCAAAATAACGTGACCAGGGCCAGACAACCAAAGGCTTCCAAACTATCCTATATTGCTTAGCTCTAGACCTTTTTTTTTAACATAAGAGAGAAATAAGTGTCTACATTATTCAAGGCATAATTTTTGTGTATCTGACACTAGCAAAAAATCTAATAGTAGTTACTGAATTCTATGGAAAAACTCTCGTCCAAGATTACTTCCCTCTACCCTGCCCATCTTTTTCGTGGTAACGGCTTCTCATTTCCCCTTTCCAAAATTTGTTTGACTCAGTTTTCTGGACTAATCTTTTCCATGATGTCCTTCTTATATTTATGTGGGAAAGAGGCCATGTATAAATAAATAAAAATAAGTTGGCAATCCAAAAGAAAAAAGAACATGTCCAAAACTGAGCTTATGATTTTCCCCACCCCCGTACAAACACTGCTTTTCTCAGGCCTCCCATGCAGAAGGGCAGGGAATTTTTTTCCCTGATCTGTTCATTGCTGCATCCTAAGCACCTAGAACAATACCCAGCATGTAGGTGATGCCCAATAAATATTTGTTTATAGTGTTTATATAAATGGCTGAATCAAGGTGGGTTCAGAGGCTTTTATACCCAGGAGCAGGGGAACGGAAGCCTCTGGTCCTCAGCCCACCCGCTCAGCATGCACACATGCTCAGACACATGAGCCACCACATACGTTGGGAGCAGTCAGGGCCTGTCCAGCCAGCCATGCAGTAGCAGGTCCCATTCGAAGGGTGGCAGGAGGAGTGGTTAGCACACTTGCAGGGCACACAGCGTTTGCCGTAGCGGCCGGGCTGACAGGCTGAGGGAAGGGGGCTCGTGGTGACCAGGGGCAGGGGCCAACCCTCAGTCAGCCCGTGACCCCACTCTCTCCCTCCCTCCTTCCCACTGCAGCAACCAGCCCAAAGACTGGAGTCAGCACAAGAGACCAAGAGGGGTAGAGTGGGAGCTTCAGGCATCTGACACTACACTGCACATTACTGCTGGCAGGCAGGGGGAGGGGAGGGAGCCTCACATCTCTGGCAGGAGGGGCCTCGGAATCCAGGTGCACACACACAATTGCCATTCTCAGGGATGCAGGTGCCCCCATTCTTGCAGGTACAGGTGTTGCTACAGTTGGCTCCCCAGAAGCCCTCAGGGCAGGGCAGGTGGCAGCGGGTACCTGTGAGAGGGGTAGGGTGAGACTGGCCTGTGGCCCCCCTTCCGTAGGGTTTCTTCTGAACACATGCCCTGTGGGATGCACCCCCCAACTCCACAGTAAACCTGGGGCGCGGACACCCAGAACGCTCACCTGTCCAGCCAGCTTGGCACTGGCAGTGTCCGTGAACAGGGTCGCAGCCATCAGAATGGTCACAGTCACAGTGGCTTGCACAGCCTTCACCAAACATCCCCTTCTTGGAGAGGGAGTGGAGGGTAAGATAGGCCAGTCAGCTGGGGGGTGCTGTGCCTTTCCTCCCCCAGGCAGGCAGACTGTTGTGCACTTACCAGGCAGGGGAGCTGGCAGTGGGTCCCGTGCCACCCAGGGGTACAGGTACAGGCTCCTGTTTGGGGGCTGCAGGCTGCCTCGTGGGCACACTGGCAGCTGGCATTGCAACCGAAGCCCCAGGTTCCAGGCGGGCAGGGCACGGAGCAGTTACCATGCTGCCAACCTGGAAGAGGGGACTTGCACGTAGGCATGGGGACCTGGCTCCCCTCCTGAGCAAGCACACACTGGGCATTGGCTCTGCCAGGCTCTGCGCTATGAGCTGGGGCTGGGGGTGGGGATGCCCATGGCCGCATAGGAGACAAGCATAGAAACTGTTGGATGTTGGACAGAAGAGGCTGAAAGACCGCTGGGCCTGCACCACCACCTTCTGGGTCTTGGTTGCCTCTTCTGCAAAATGAAGGAGGGTGGCAGCAAACCCAAATGCTTACAGAGGCCCCAACAGGTAACTAAATGAGTTCTCCAGATCATGTGTAAGACAATAGGGAGGAGTGGGGACTGGAGACGGGACTGTTGTTAAATATGATAGAGAGCTAGTCAAACAAAACATATCTGTGTCCGAATCTAGCCTAAAGGTTGCCAACGTGCCACCCCTGGTAGATCTCCGAGGCCCTTGCTGGAGCTGCCATTCTGTGATTCTGCATGTCTGAGGATGAGGAATCATCTGCAAAGAGGAACCTCTGGCCTGGGCCTTTAAGGACAATTGGGATTTTTGTGGTTGAAAAAAAGCAAAGCGGATATTCCAGGAAGGAAGTAGCCTGGCTACTTTTCCAGCAGTCCAGCTGCTGACCAGTGCCTCCGCCCTTACCCTGCAGCCTCTCCCCTACCCTTGGCCTGCCCCTACCCTTGCACTCTCCCTTCTTCGCATGGCCCCGCCCCCAGATCCCCTTCCGGGAGATCCCAACCCGTTACCTTCCTTGCAGACGCAGGCGCCGTCGATGGGCGAGCAGGCGATGGCATTTTCGCAGGAGCAGCGTGCGGAGCAGTTGACTCCATAGGTGTCAGGCGGACAGAGGCTAGAGCAGTGCCGGCCCTGAGAGCGGGCGGGAGCACCAGTGAGAGGAGCGGGCGGGCTCCCGGGCCTCTCCGGCACCTCCCTCGCGGCGGGGCGCGCCTCACCGTGTAGCCGGGCGCGCACCGGCAGAGGCCGCTGTCGGGCTGGCAGACGCCGCCGTGCAGGCAGAGGCAGTGCTCCTGGCAGCCGGGCCCGTGCGTGTCCTGCGGGCAGCTCTCGTTGCAGTGGAGGCCCGCCCAGCCCGGCAGGCAAGAGCACTCCCCGCTCATCGGGTGGCAGCTGCGGGCGGAGGCGGGGGCGCGGCGCGGTCTGAGGCCGGGTCCGCAGGTCGACTTCCCCGCCCCCTCCGCGTGGTGGGAGACGAGCATCGCCGAATTGAGGGGGACATCGGGGAGGCTCGGTGCTGTTCCGAGAGCGGTCTCTCCCCGTTCCCTAGGACCCTCCCCTTTCCCTTCTGTGAGATCTGCCCCGCCCTAGGTCCTTTTTGTGACTCCGGTGGCTTCAGCACCGAAGGCCTCTCCCATTGGCCTCCAGACCCCTTGACCACAGTGCCCGCGGCCTACTTGAGACTGTGTTCCGGGTCGCAGGTGCAGGGCATCTGGCAGCTGAGGCCGTAGAGGCCGTCGGGGCAGAGACGTTCGGCGCAGCGGTCCCCAGTGAAGCCGTGCTCGCACAGACACGCGCCGTTGGCCGGGAAGCAGCGGGCGCCCGTGGCGCAGTCGCAAGTCTCAGCACAGTCCTGCCCGAAGCGGCCCACGGGGCACTCCTCACGGCACCTGGGCACCTCGCGGGAGTGAGCCTGGCCACGCCGCCCGCCGCCGCCCCCGGCCCACTCCAGGCCACTCCCACCCCAGGCCAACACCACCACTCACAGGTCCCCTGTGTATCCCGGAGCGCAGCGACACTGCCCAGTGAACCGGTCGCAGAGGCCTCCGTTGTGACAGCGACATTCCTGGGAGCAGTTGGGTCCATAGGAGCCCTCGGGGCAGGGCAGGGAACAGATGGTGCCCTGTGGGGGTGAGAGGTCCTCAGAGCCCCAGGAGCCCAGCCCTCTTACCGTGGCCACAGGACCCGTCAATACCCCTACACCCCAAACCCTCAAACCTCTCCAGGGCCCACACAGCCTACCCCCCTCACACACATCCTCCTGGGAGCCCTATAGAGAACCGCCCACAGAATTCATACCCACAGGCCCCACCCTTCATACCATCCAGCCAGGTGGGCAGCTGCAGGAGCCCCGAGAGGCCTGGAAGACACCCCCGTTTTGGCAAGGAGGGGTGCTGGGGCAGGAGAAACCAACACTGTCCTGTGAACAGGACACCTCGCAGCTGTTGGGCAGAGGGGGTGAGGTCAGTATGTAAACAAGCAGTACCTGCTTCCCCCTTTGCCTCCAAGGGCTGGTCAACCACAAACAGGCCCTCCCCAGGAGGAAGGCCCGACCCCAGGGCTCGGTGAGTCTCACCCCCCACTTCCCTGTTGGGTACTGCAGGGATCAAAAAACAAACGTTTCCAGGACTGGAAATGGCAGGGGCACCCAGCCCCATCAGGAGGGGTAGAGCGAAGAGCCATGGGTGGCGTGTGCTCTCCACACACCCTCTGCTCCACCTCTACCTTTGCTCATGCTCGTCCCTCTGGGGGCAACACGTCTGCCTGCCATGGTTTTCTATCCTGAGGGCTCAACGCCAGAGCTCCTCCATGAAGCTGGATATTTGATCTCCAGCTAGATGCACATTCTCCCTCCTGTGACGCCCCAGCTCTCCCTGCACCCTGCCTTGCAGTAGGGTTCTCTGAGTCCCTATCTCAGCCCCAGTTTGGGACGTGTTTTCGCTCACACGCTAGTTCATGTTATCTTCACAGCAACCCTTCTAGGTGGACAATACTGCTCCCATTTTACAGACCGGAAACAAACCCGTGAAGAGTCAATGATTTACTCAAGGTTGCTCAACCAGTGAGCAGCAAGGCTGGGACCAGGATCTGGGCCTATTGACTCCAACCCCACGTTTGGGATGCTGAGTCCCCTTGTGTCCCCACGTATGCCCGTGCATCCTGTGTCTGCAATCCCGTTAGTGTGTGTTCCTCCTGTTACACACCTGGGCCCAGTTCTCTCGGGGGGGCAGAAGCAGGCTCCGGTCTGTGGGTCACAGGGTGCCCCATGGCACTGGCAGCTGAACTGGCAAGCAGGGCCATAGCGGCCAGGGGAGCAGGGCCGAAAGCAGTGTGGAGGCTGCAGCCCAGAGGGACAGGAACATGCCCCACTCTTGGGGTCACAGGAGCTGCTGTTGCCGCAGTTGCAGGGCTTGTCACACTGTGGCCCCCAAACTCCCAGGGCACAAGCTGTGGGATGGGAGAGCGGAAGGGAGTCACCAGGGGTCTTGCCCCTCCCCAGCCTCCAGTTAGTCCCCATCTCTGTGTCCTGGACCCCACACATGCCCCCATGCCCGGCTTTGGCCCCTCCCCCTGTACCACACCTCCAGAAAAGGCTGCTGGCTGCAGTGGGACTCTGCTGCGTGACCAGCCTGGGGGCCTAAGCACCTGTGCCCTGGTAGGGAGGGTGTGCCCGAGGCTTCTGCATCCCTGGAGGCACAAGGGGTCATGCCCTGCCGTCACCAGCCACTCACCGCTGGAGCAGTCGTCGCCCCGCCAGTCTTGTACACATTGGCACTGATTGGGTGCCACGCAGCGGCCATGAACACACTCCCGAGCACAAAGCGCTGGGGCAGAGATGGGGTGGGGTGTGTGTGAGAAGATGCTTCCACCCCTGCCGTACCCACCTTTTATTCTCTGAAGCCTAACCCCAGCTTCCTCCCACACCAGGGACCTGGAGTTCGCCAAGCAGCAGTTCTGCCTCTAAGATGCAAAGAGACTGAGAGTAAAGCAACTCAGGTCAGAGCTTGTCAAGACCTCAGGATTCCGGACTCCCGAGCTCCTTTCTGTGAAATTCTGGAAGCACCTTGTTGGGAAATGGGCAGGCGGGGTTCCTCACGTAAGGACCAGACATGGATGCTGTCCGGAGAGAGGGTAGGGGCTGGACTGGGGGCTCAGGCTGGGCAGGGGTCTCTGTAGGGGCTGGTGATGGTCCAAGGCTGAGAGAAGGAGAGAGACACAGAGCGGGCTCTGCTCTGGGGGTTTCAGGGTGCTGGGGGCGGGGGACAGCAGAGACTGGACGGCGACAGGTCGAGACAGATAGCAACAGAGAGACAGGGACAGGAAGAGTCAGAGAGAGTGCCAGACACGGAGTCCTGAGACACGGTGACAGAGAGATACAGGCAGCCCAGAGACAGAGATGCAGAGCCAGAGACTGCTGAGGGACATGGAGAGAGAGGGTGGGAGAGACGTAGGGACAGCTAGAGACAGAGGTATGAAGTGGCAGCTTTGTCCCTAGAGACAACAGGGCCAGCGGAGGGCAGAGGAGTAGCCCCACCCTGGTGAGGGAAGGGAAGGACTAGGTGGCCTAGGCTCCACTCATTCCACGGCCCCACCCAGGACTCACGGACACAGGCTCCACTGCTCTCATAGAAGCCCCGGCAGCACTGCAGGCGCATTCGGTGCTCCGTCTTCACCACCTGGCGGTACACGGTCCGGTAGACAACCCTGGGGGAGACCCAGAGGTGGCCCTCAGTCCTCCCTGCCGAGGCCCCGGCTTCCAACCTTCCACAGTGCTGGTGGCGGCACTGGGGGAGGCCTGGGGCACTGCCCAACACTCTGAGCTGGGGTAGCATAGAACATTCCTCCCTCCTTGCCTCCCATCCGGCCACACACATGCACACAATACACCACACCTGCACACCCCAAACACACATACCCCACACACAACATGCCTTGAATGCCCTGAGGCCAGATGCTTCCTCTGAACTCTAAAGGTTCTGAGAAAAGAATGGGGGTACAGAGGGGCAAGGCCCAGGCCGAGGCAGCTCCTCTGGCACCCATCTGCCGATGGAGGGGGACGGGCACTCACGTGGGCCGGGGGCAGGTGTGCGGGCTCTCCCAGGGCCGGTCACAGGGCTCCGAGGGGAGCAGGCTGAAGGGGCGGGAGTGTGACTCCTTGGTTGTGGTGGTGAAGCTGCAAGACAGAGAATGGAGTCGGGGCCCAGGGCAGGGAGAGGCTTGAGCTGGCAGAGCGGAGTGGGGGTGCGAGGGCTTGGCCACAGTGGGGAATATTTAGGCTTGCTCCCTCGAGCCTAGGATGGGCCCCCCATCTGTCCCGCTTCAATCTGGAGGGATCCTCCCAGAGTTGGAATATTCCTGGGAATATTCCATTCCAGCCCTCCGTTCCGCGCCGCCTCCTTCTCCCCATGTGGGGAAATTGAGCTGGAACTGACTCCCGGGCCCAGCTGATGGAGAGGGGTCGAAGCACTTCTGGCCAAATCTTGCCCTGGGCCTTGTTGCCCAGCCCTGTCCCCTGGGCTCTCCCTGGGCCAGCCCCTCTGCTTGTCCCATAGTGAATGGCTCCTACCCTGTGCTCTGTCCTGCAGCTAGCCTCACACAGGGACCAAGGCATGGGGATAAAGAAAGGACAAGGTCACAGCTGAGATGGAGACTGAGACAAGATCAAGATGGGGATGGAATCAGAGGCATCTCATCTAGGGGAGCAGAGAGAGTAGAAGCAGAAATAGGAGGGAGGTGAGGGCTGGAGAAAGGGAAGGGGGCAAGGGAGGGAACTGGAAAGAGGAGCCCCAGTGGAGAGAATGGGGAGCTGGGGGCTTGCAGCCCTCAAGGCACAGCAGGGGCCCTCTCTCACCTTTCCCAGAAGCTGCAGGTGTTGGGGTCCTTGGGGTTGAGGGTTCCAGCCAGCCCCAGGCCCAGGGCCAGAAGAAAGAGGGCCCGCAGAGGTGGTGACATTGCTGAGACCTGTGACAGGGCCAGGTGTGGAGCAGGTGAGGGGCACTGCAGCCACAGACCTGGAGGGCCAAGTCTCTGCAGAGACCAAGCAGGGGTGGCAGAAGAGATGAGGCTCTGGTCCTCTGGCCCATGCTTCCCAGGCTCCAGGTCTTATTCCTGACCAGGTGGAGCACGGCCATGCCTCTGAGACTTTCTCACACGGTTTCCTCTGTCTGGACATCCTCCCCCCCATTCTTACTTTAAGCACTCACCTTTCAAGGTCTAGCCCAAGTGTCACCCCTCTTTCCCTGCCCGGCTCCCCGATCCACACTGGCAGACTGCCCCCACCCGTCCCTTCCGGGACCCCCAGCACCATTCACCCACACGCCACTGTTCTAGTGCCTGTTCCCTGACCATGACCTCTAGAGGCAGGGACCTGTGCCTGAATTCCCAATCCCCAGCACAGCCCCTACCCAGGGCACTTTGATATTATACCAAGGTGTGAAATTGGAGCCGATGAAGGGAAGTTATAAGGGAAGCCAACTTGGGCTCAGTTAGAGGAAGAACTTGCCAACGGCCAAAGCAGTTCTGTGATGGAATCAGTGACCTCGGGTGGTGAGCTCCCCATCACTGGATGTAGGCAGGCAGAGGCCAAAACCACCCTGATGCTGTTAGGGGCTTCCTGCTTTATGGGGTGGGAGTATGGCTAGGTCCAGGTGACCTTGAAGGAGGCCCCTCCCCACCACTGGTGCGCTGGCACGGCCCATACTGACTTCTGAGAGCCAGTCATGACTTCTCTTCCCAACCCCTTGTTCAGCGCTGTCACAGTAGTAGCTTGAAACCAAGCACGGGGGTGGAACTCGGCACCACGGAAATCAGCAAACATCACAAATCAGGGCCATTCCCCCACCCAGCCCCCCACCGAAGCCAGTTGCTAAAGCCTTGCCAGCATACCTCTGCACCCAGCTCTAGGTGCTATCACCCAGGGAGTCCCCAGCCTGGCCTCAGACTTAAGGAGAAGCCGCCACCTCCCTGTGACCACCCACCAGCCATCTGGAAATGGGCTCCTCCCCGTCTCCTCCACCCCTGGCCTCGCCCAGTGGATGGGAAGCAGGTCAGGGCCTCAGAGGAGTCTCTTTCTGGCTCCGGAGCTCAGGAGCAGCAGAGGCCCTTGAGCACCCGCCGCCCCCGACCCCGCCAGTTTCAGATTCTCTGTTAACTTGCCCCGGCTCGGCTCCCTCCTCTACGCCGCCCTGAGGCGCCCACATCTGCTTATAATTTTCCCCGAGAAGAGAGAAAGGTCGTGGTAGCTGGCCCCTTACCCCGCTGAGTATCTCTGGAATGCCTGCCTCCAGGGCCCACCCCAGGCCCTCCACCCACACACTCCCAGGGTCCCAGCGGGCCGCTCTCAGCTCCCATCAGGGCAGCGCTCAGAGGGATGCTCCCTAACTTAACCGCACCCCACTGCTGCGTTCTGCCCAACCAGTAAATCCTCCAGTCTGCTCCCCACCCTCTCAGCGGCTGGGCTGGCCCACATCTCCTCCCCAGGCTCCCTCCTACCCACCGCAAATTTCTACCCACCACCCCGCTCCTGTCTTGCAGAGCAGCAAGGCCTGCCCACGACTCTGGTTAGTGGCCCCATCACAGCTCCGCCAGGGCAGATCACCTGTAGTCTTTTTTGTGTCCTTCCCATCCATCCTCAGTCCCCAGGTAACTCACCAGGCCTCTATGGCATCCTGGGGCCTGAGAAACTCAGGTGAGCCAGGGGCAGGGCGACAGGGCCCTTGGGCCCCAGGGCCTGAGGAGCCCAGAGAGTGCCCTGGGGGATCCCGGTGCTCATGATATGGAGCCTGTAAACAGGAAACAGAGGCTGTCTAGAATGTGTGTATGTGGGGAGGGCAGCAGGCAGCATGATCATGGGCGGAGCATGGGGTGGCTCTGTCCTCCCACCACCCTGAACTTGGAAGGTAGGATGTGGGGGAGGGTGGGGAGTCGGGGTCGGGGGAGGGATGCAGCCTGGCCTCAGGGAGCCAGGCCACAGTCAGGAGTGCCCTTCGGCCCTTCACAGTCTGGCCCTTCCACCCACACAACTCCCAGCTCCCTCCCCAACAGTTGGCTCCCTCTCCCAACATCCCCAGACTCTGCCCTTCATCCCAGCCCTGCTCTGGTCACCTTCCCAGGCCCACCCTGTCTGATCCTAGCTGACCTTCTCATGGCAGCAACCCCATGGACAGGACCCCGAGCCCCCCACGCATCTCCCCATCTTCATCCCTCAGTCTGGTCCACATTCCCCTCTTCCTGTAGCCCCCACTGTGCCCCTGGCATGCGGGTCCTGTCCTCCAATTAGACCTCAGTCTGTCTGGATACAGGGTCATCACCCTTGTCCCTGGGCGAGCCTCATCTCCAGCCACTCAGGGACCCCCAGGCTTACCTGGGCCTGGATCTGTCCCCGGAGCTCGAGGCTGCGGTGGTGACATGGACAAGACCTGCAGCAGGAAGGCCCTGACGAGGCGCAAAGGGGAGGGGCTGTCCTTCCTCTCATCTACAGCAGCCCCCTCCCACCAGCCACCTCCTCTTAACCAACTTCTGGAGGAAATGGTTCCCCCCGGGGGACTTTGAGAGGGACCTCGAGATGGGCAGGGGAGCATGCAGAGGGCCTGACCCTAATCCCAGGGGGGTGACTCTAATAACTAGAGGGGTGGGGAGATTCTGTTTTCCCAAGGGCTTCAGGGTAGGACTGGAGAGCAGAGGAGGTCTCAGCTGGTCAGTGGAAGGGGCTGGAAGCCAGGATGGCGTCGGTGAGATCAGTGGGTGGTCCGCAGGGAGGGGAGAGATGCGATGGGGATCCTGGCAGAGAGGGGCAGGGTTTGGCCTCACCAGCCCCAGACCCTGAGGAGGGAACACAGGCCAGACCAGGAGCCCAGAGCTCCAGCCTGGCTGCCTAGGCTTGTTCCCATCTGACCCTTTGTCCCTGAGGGGCTAGGGAACCTGAGACCCTGGCCCACCCTTCCCCAGCACCTCCAGTCCCAGCAGAACGGGGGCTATTGTGATTACACGTGCCCCTTCAAGGGGTTTAAATCAGACAACTAGTGGCTCCCCATCTGACCCCAGGGGCCCCCACTGTAGGCTCCCTTCTCCCTCTTCCTATGCAGATGACCTCTGCCTTTCCCCTACTCAGCCCCCTTCCTCCATGGCACCTCTGGATTGAGGGACCCACACACCTTCCCTCACAACTGGAAAACTAGTGCGACCCTATATGTTGTCTACTGTGTTGGCACGGGCAGAGTGCTGAGCAATTTATATGGATCATTTCGTGTAAAGCTTATGTCAACCCACTGTGGTTGGTATTATTATTCATTTTACTGATGAAGAAACAGGCAAGGAGAGGGTAAGTTCCCTGCCCAGGGCCACACAGCCAGTAATATCAGAGCTGGGATCCAAACCCAGACTGGCAGATCCATCCCTGCGGTTCCAGGCTCTCCCGAGCCCAGGCAGGAATCCCAGGGACTTTACATCTCTTTTTAACAGCCTTGGTTATGGCGAGGGGGAGCCTGGCAGGGGGCTGGACAGGAGAAGGGGATCAGGCTGGGGGCTGCCGCAAGAACGCGATCACAGGCGTGGGAACCGGGATGTGTTTACAGTCAAGAATGAGCTGACACTTCTCTCTCCTTCACCTCCAGATGCAAAGCAGCTGGGCGCCTGGCCAGGCCCCCTGCCCCCCAGTCCCCAGTCCCGCCTGCGCGAGCCCCCACTATCCCTGCCCTCTCGGCCTCCAAGCCCACACAGGGCCCAACCCAGCTCACCTCCCCTGCTCTTCTGTTCAGCCTGATTCCTCTGGTGGGGAGTCCCTCTACCCTCACTGTACTCCAATCCTAACCCTGCTAGGAGGAGGGGGATGAGTCTGGGGCCTCTGAGAGGGGAGTAGAGTTCCTAGTGGACAGGAGATGATCCATGTCTATAGAAGGCAGAGAACAAGAGTGGGGCTGATGGAAGTGAGACAGCAAGAGGAACTTCCCCACCAGCTCTCTTCCAGCTACTCTCCTCTGGGAGGTGGTAGAGCAAACGATACCCTCTGAGCTCTGCATCCCCTCCCACCCCCCCATTCAAACCTGGGTTCGAATCCCATCTCCCAGTTCCCTCATCTCTAAAATGGAGAGGATAATGGTACTTCCGTTTGTAGGATTGTTCTGCGGAGTAATAAATGAGTTGATGCAGATAAGTGTTTAGAGAGCTACGTCAGAAGCTCAATGAACAATTGCAGTCTCCACGATGGCATCCTCAGCCTCACTCCTCCTGCACCTATCACACCCCTTCTCCACTCCCCTTGGCACTGTCATACTCTTTGAGTATTCATTCCAGGAAAAGCTGTTTCTTTCTTTTTTTTTCCTGAAGAACCCCCAGGATGATCCGGGAATGGGAATAGGGCCTTAGATGCTGACAGAGAGAAAGGAAGTGGGGAGGGGAGGGGACTAGGCTCCCCAGAGAACCTGATCCCCCAGAACGATGGGCTGCCTGCCAGGTACGTCTTCAAGCCAAAGGCGGTTGATGAGGCAGGACGCCTGGATTCTACTTGCCCCCAGCCCTCAGCCTGAGCACCAACTCCAGCTTCTTGCTTGTTTCCACTGGTGCCTCCTCTGTCTCTCTCTCTCTCCCCCACATCCCATCTTGGAGGCCAAAGTTTCTAGTACTTAAAAGCTGTACGACCTCAAGCATGTCACTTGAGCCCTGTGAGCCTCCATTTCCTCATCTGTAAAATGGGAGAATAACACCCCATATCTCCCAGGGTTCAGTGGGGGTTGGAACTGTTGGTTCCAATGACCATCCTGGAACTGAGCCTCAGACCAGAGGCTGCTTAGTGGACATGTGTTGATGCAAAAACAGAATCCTCCAAGTTCTAGGCTCTCTGCCTCTTTCTTTTTGCCTTTTGTCTTCCTCTTCATCAGAAACTCTCTGCTTTCTGTCTTTTTTTCTTCCTCCATCAGTTTCTTGGTCTCTTCTGCCTCTCTCCTTCCTTTTCCATA